ATGTCTCTGCTCTAGAGCTCTGTGCGAATGTTTGTGTGATTTATGAGCTAAAAAATAGATTACTGTAGCTCTTTCATATAATCTTTAATGTGCTGACTAAACTACCCTCCTGCTGATATGCGATCACCATGCCAGACCCACTTTTCCAACCCTAACCACCTTACTTTCTTCTTTCTGTTGTCATTAATTGATATAGTGCAGATTTAAGATTATATAAAGCAAAAACCTCAGTTTGCATACTCTTCTTTTAGGCTAATAAATTAAGTTTAACCAAGGTTGCTCCTTAATTACATTATTTTATTCTCTTGATTTTTTTGGTTCCGCTTTCCTGCTACTTTTGTCTCTCTGCTTGTTCGCTATAAGTTATTATTTCGCGCTTCATATTTCATCTCCTTCTTCATATTTATGTGCCTGAGTTAACTGAAAAAGTTTCTTTATTAGAAGTACTTATTATCTTTTTCTGATACAAATATATAAAGGAGTACACAACCAAGTTGCTCTGTTTTTTCTCGGTGGATTTAATAACAATAAGAAAATCAGAGTTACTCAAGTCCGGAACTTGTTAATAGGAAAGACTTTTAGTCTTCCCTGCCTCTACTTGTTTTTCCATTCTCCGGTCGGAGAAAACAGTCTTCCCTTGATCAAATTGTGAACTATTTTACTGTTACAGCTATGTTTTAACCTGTTGTAGTCTCATGGGAATTTCTTTCTAAATGAACACTCACAATGCTATATTATTTTTTTCTTATACATCGGGTCGTAGTAGATAAAGCTTATTTGATTCTCAGTAAGGAATTGAAATAATCTTTCGAACGGACTCCATATGCTTCCAAAGGGAACCAACTTTTTCTTTTCCATTTCCTACTCTCAACAAATAATTACAAAATGAAGGATCATGTTTTGCTCTCATATTTTCAAATAACCGCAACCTTTCAAGTTCTTCCCAGATATGAGAATATAGTAAATTCATTAATGAAATCTTCTTTTTCCCCGTTTCAAACTACAGGAAGTGTTTGTCTGAAGTCACCTCCAAAAACTACAACCTTTCCACCAAATAGTATCGTTGAAACCATTAAGTCCTTTAAGAGTAAATCAAGCAGTTCGATCATTCTTTTTTTTTGCCATAGATACTTTGTCCCATATGATTAATTTTGCATCCTGAATCAAACATGCTAGTGAGTTTGCTTGCTAATGTTGCATATGACATTTTCGTCAATATTTATTGAAATTTTAAAACGTGAATGTGCAGTTCGTCCACCGGGAAGTATAGAAGCAGCTACACCGGAAGTGGCAGTTGCCAATGCTATATATCCTTTAGATCGTATAGTTGCCAGCAATGCACGGTACAAGAAGGTTTTTCTAGTTCCTCCCGGACCATCAATAAAGAATGCTCCCGCTTTGTTTGAAAAAATCCTATCTGTAATTACATTGTACGCTTTGAGTTGATCTTCCTTTAACTTTTTGTGTAATAGTATATCCTCTTCAGTTACAATGATGGTCCTTTCATGGTACACCTCTTTTGCGTCTAATGAAGACCTTATTGCTTCTGGAATGAGATGATATTCATTTATGTCGCCACCCATAGAGTGCAATATATCATTAATATGGTTTATAACCATGTATGGTATGTCTCTTTTGTGAATATTAGGTAACAAGCTGTAATCCTCCGACATGTGCTCTTCAAATTGCTCCCAAAGTTGTCTCGGGTTAGTCGGATTGCAGTAGATCAGTAATAAAGCAAATAAACGTCACAAACTGTATGGCATTTGGTAACTTGCTGCTTCAGACATGCATTCTGTCAAGCTATTATCACTCTGTAGCAATCCACGTTTTTCCGCAGATTCCCTAAAGCTACTGCAGCGTTCTTCGTTGACAGTTAGTAAATTCCTATATAATTTTGGTCCTCTAATATTCATTAGTAACATCCTAAGGTAGTATCCCTCTCCTTCTGTTGGATGACATGTTACTACACGGCCAATAGCACGTTGTTTTTTCCGGCGCGTCCACATTTACTCCGTTGCAGACCAAACGAAATGTTCGGGGAATTCTCGATATAATAGATTGAGTTCTTCAGCGTCTGTGTTTGTTCTATTCATTTCAAAAAATTGTGTTAACATCTTCTGCTTAATCATCGGATTATTTACAAGCGTATCTATGTTTGCGCTGCTTTTAAATGAAACAAATTGTTGTCCTTTAAGGTGAAGCTGAAGAGGGCATACACTCGGGTACATTTCACTGATGGAGAAACCGTACAACCGCCACATAGCTTTCGGAGGCGAGACCCATCTAGCAGAATGATATTCTTTTATCTCATCTATTACTTCTGTGTTGGTGTCCTTATTGTGTACAGAAAATGCAATCTTATCGTGTCCTTTACATATATACTTATAAGGATACTTAACGACCTTAATATCAGAACATATCTCAACATTCACATGGCAATCAAATTTTCCGAGCAAAAAAGGATTATATGGAACAACCCATGAGTTATCCAAGTGTCGTTCTCTTATTTTTACTACCACTCCTGTATTGCGTCTTCTATAAATTAGATAAGATTCTATTCCTTTTGATGTCTGCTCCGCAAATTTTTTTGGGTATTTGAATTTACAGTAACCTTTTTCTTCATACAAGAATTTGTTGGGTTTAGATTACCGCATGGACCATTCATCATGTGTTTAAGAACAAGTGAATATAAATCTGGTTCTGCTTTTTCATCAGGTATTTCTGCACTAATAATAGTATCGTAGGCCTCTGGAGTAAGTAACTTGTATTCGTTGGTTAATATTATAAGAAAATAAGCGTGAGGTAAACCTCGCTTTTGGAACTCTACAGTACACATAAAAGCTGCAACTTTCCCAAAGATATTTCGTTTTAGTATATCCTTTTTGAATTCTTCTATTTTCGCTCTAAATACTCGACTGATCAAATCAGGCCTGTTATGTGCCTCATCGGTTGAGATTAAATGTTCCTTTATTTCTGTCCAAGAGGGATTACATGTCATTGTTATAAACAAATCAGGTTTACCGAAATGCTGCACGAGCGCAATAGCATCCATGTACCGTTGACGCATATCCCGGGGCCCTCCAATAAAAGAACTTGGAAGGAAAGTTTGTTTCCCGATATTAGAAGCATCGCGTTCCCCTAATCGCAAAATGTCAAGAAGTCCTTCTAGCATAGCCATTCTGAATAAATCTTGATTGAATACTGCAAAATCCAACCTTTGTGTTTCAAGTTTAATGCACTCATCAACTGAATACTGCTGAAATATTCTTCCTGTGTGCAATATTTCATCTTCATCATCGTTTCTCATTTGTAGTTTGTAACAGTAATACTCACGGACAGAAACTGTATCCCTTCGTCGCTGTCCTTTTTTTAGAATCTCAACTTCCATTTCTAGATATCCGTCAAGGGAGGTAACATTTCGTATGCTTGGTACCTCTTCATGCTGCGCAATTCTTGCGTATGCAGGACAATTTGCTGGGAGCTTTTTAATACCACAATGCCATCCACTTTGTCCTAGCGGAAACAATAGCGGATATTGCAATGCGTCGTAACAGCCATAGTAGTAATTCACTATTTGTGTTCGATCAGAGTGAGGGTAAATTTGAATATGTGGTGCATTAAAGGCTGCGTCGGCATTTTCCTCGGTCCATATTGCTGCAATTTCAGATGAAGTTGGCAAATTATATACTCTCTGGTCCAAGTCTATGTCACATTTGAGAGCTATATGGAAATCTTGTAGGTTCGTTATATGTACCAAAGATCGTACAGAACACAGAGTATGGATTTATTGATAATATATCTATCAATTCCTTCACTGCCGATTCATGTACTCTCTCGGAGCATGCCATCCTATGTGTCAGCTCATTGCTATTATCGCAGAAATATAATTGTATGTTTCTTGGTTTGTCATCTGTAGGGTGCAAATTATTTATCCAATGGTACATCTTTCCTGGAACTCTGAAGGTGTAAATACCGGAATTTCTTTTTGCTAAATCTTTATCATACTTTACACCAAGTGACGTGAATGCAAAAAGATTATTATATGTTCTAATGTATGTTCGAAAGTGGTTAGACGCCACATTATTTCCAACATATAAATTACGCAATTTCACAGGCATTTGATGAGAAGTTGACTTTACTGTCCCAGTACGACAGTAGAATACAGGAGGTTCATATTCAAATCTTTTCGCTGAGCAAAATTTGTGGTTGTTGTACCATCCGTATATTCGAAATGGATCATTAAAACTAAGGCAAAGCAAAAGCAGTCATGACTGTTAATAGGTGGAAAAAAACTGAACAGACCTTTGGGTGTAACTATCTTGGAGACTTTGTTTTGTAGTTCATTGGATACAATTGACGTTGAACCTAAAATGAAGGTAGGTGGTCTTTAGATGGAACTAAATAGTGGTAGCTATTTTAAAAGCGAGCAAAGAAAACATACTCACCTTTTTCATAGACAGCAAAATGGACGTGTTCATCTCTTTCTTTACAAGCCATTGTTCCAATCAAGGGAACAGTAGTTATATTCTCACAAAGCGTATGTCTCTTTGACTCTTGGTATTTTAGTCGACGTTATAGCAATAACTTTTCCTTTTTCTCTACTGTCATCTCTTTGTATTTTTCACGTCGACTGACATTTCTATCTGTCTCTGAGAGGGGACGTTTATTTTTTTGTGTATGATCCATCAGAATCGTAGTATTTACTCCTAAATGAAGTTGTGCGAACTATCACACAACCCTTTAGCAAGATATCAATTTCTATTAGCGAATATGTAGAAGCACAAAAAGGTACTGCACTTTGATATACGTAGCACCTGCTGTGAGCACCAACAGCAGCTATTGTCAAACAACATTGCAGATAAATTCAGTACCACAACTTGTAAAAACAAAAATAGTGCACAACAGTAACAGTTAGCAGTGCAACGAGCAGGAGAAACAGAGGATGTGCTAGTAAGAGCCTGCGTTTACAAATATATGAAGATAAGATAGTTGATTACCTGTAAGCACGTCGAGCAGCTTTTTTTGTCGTACCAAATGAAACAGAAGCGTCAGCAGTTCTACAAAGGCAGAAATAACTTTTAGTCATGGTTAGCATCAACTTCAACACATCGTGCATTGAAAATACTCGCAAAAATATTCTCTATAGAATGTGTAATGCGACTGTCATAAGATGAATGGTAAAGACAAGAAAGAAGATCACTATAGTAAGCTCTATTAGCAGACCAAGTATGTGGATATGCAATAAAAGATAGTAATCTGTGTTGTCAAAGGCGCGCTTAAAGTGCGCTTAAGCCCTAAAGCGAGGCTCAAAACATGTTGAGCGCTTCGTCTCGTTTTGTGGGCGCTTTAGTATCGCATCAAGGCTCTTAGGCGTACTTTTACTTGCCAATGAGTGTAATCTTGAAAAGGCAACATAAAACAATTAATATTTCACATTATCGTAAATTATTTCTAATTTCTTTGTCCATATATTTGTTATTCATGCTTATAATTAGTAGTCTTAGACTACATATACATATTTTTACTTTTTCTTCAATTGTGCTTTTTTTCATTAAAGCCCACGCTTTATTTGCGCTTTGCGCTTAAAGCCCTTACGGACCTTAGAGCTTTTTTGCGCTTTTCGCCTTTGATAACATTGATAGTAATAAAGAAGCTAAAACTTGTGAATAGGAAATAACACGAACATCTAAAAATAAAAGAAATTGAGAGTTAAAAAGAAAAGTGGTTGTAACGTAATAAAAAAAATCATGGAAACATGTTCTACCTAGGAATCAAACAAGATGTTATATAGTTTTATATCACGGTGTGCCACTCCCATTTTGTGACAATAATTAATTGCTAAAACCAATTGCCTTAAAATAACAACAGCAGCTTTCTCAGAAAATAGTGAGAAGGGAGTAAAGAAAGGAAATAACTGAAAGATGCTCTAACAATTTGTTACAAACTATTCATTCATTCTGGGGACACGCACCTACACTCACACCCTCTCGCGCTCATTCATTCTCATTCTCAGTCACTCGTCTTTACTCCTCACACACACCACACCATTCTCATACACACTCCCACACACCCTTAGAAAGGCATAAGAACAGCTTTGGCACTTACTGATAAACAAAGCAAAGTAACTGTTGAACCATATTTATTGCTAAGCTGAAGGTTTTCCTCGTGGCAAAGAAATTTAATGTACTATAGAAGCACATAAGAATTTCTTTTACATGCTAACAGTTGTTTTATTATTTGGCATGAAATTATCGAGTTGTTTATGGTTAAAAAAATATAACAATAGTAATAATATAAAGACATATACTTCATATTTAACGTGCATCAAGACTGCAAAGTAGAGAGTACTATTACTAACTCAACCTTAAAAATTCAAAATCTGCAACAAACGATCAATGGTAACCATCATTATTGAAATTGAAACAACAAGAGTAGGGTAAATAACTGGTTGATAAACATATAAGATTGTTGGAGCCAACTCTAACAGGGCTAGATCTGTTCGTGCTTTTGCGACAAAATAAGTTAAGATAGATTAGTATTAAGTGAAAGCCTAATTAGGTAACAATAGTAAGCCTTAATGAAAACATAAGTTCAGACAGTTGATACATCACTAAAAGTTTCCCCTGATTGTTTTCTCTATTGGTTCCTTGGAAGCATATGGAGTCCGTTCGGAAGATTATTTTAATTCCTTACTGAGAATCAAATAACCTCTATCTACTACCAACCGAAGCTAAAAAAAAAAAGAAAACTTGATATAGCATTGCGAGTATTCAGTGACTGACAACTCGAATTTACAAAGAAATTCCCACGAAACTACAGTAGGTTCAAACGTAACTGTAACAATAAAATAGTTCACAATTTGATCAAGAGAAGACTATGTTCTCAGACCAAAGAAGACTAAAGTCTTTCCCATTAACAAGTTCCACAACCAAGTGACTTCGACACACAACAACTTGAGCAACTCTGATTTTCTTACTGTTATTTAATCCACCGAGGGAAAAACATATCAGCTTGCTTGTATAGTCCTTCATATATATACTTCTATCAAAAAAATGATAGTAAGTACTTCTAATAAAGATGCCTTTTCAATTAACTCAGGCACACAAACAGAGTATGTTCCATAAAATTTTATTAACTACTACTCCATAAACATAAACATTTTATTTCTACTTTAATGTATTAGTTCCGGCTCATCAAACATTCGCCTTCAGTTAGCATGATAGTTTTTATGCCTTTAACTTTTGTAACTGGTAATTAGTAAACATCAGACAGCTGAAAAATTCAACAAGTTGTCTAATCTAATCTCAAGTTTATATATCAAACAAAGTAATCACCTGTGAGCAAACGAGCACAGAGACGAAAAGGTAAACAGTGAAATATGGAGAGAAAACCCAAGCAGAACAGAGTGTAATCCAGAATTTATTCTGCTGTCATAGCTAAACAATTCTATGAAGTGTCAAATATAACCCTAAAAGAAAAGATCATATTTGCCAAAAAGAATCGAACTAATCTAACCTGAACAGATAATCTTTAACACAAAATATATCGTTGATCCCATCAAAACCTGAAGAGATAATGTTTAACCCCCAAAGTTTATTGTTGATCCCCATGAAACACAGGTGTTAGCAAATTAAGAAAACAACTCAAAGCACCAAAAACAAGAAGAGACTATGTTACACGTTTGAGAAGAGAAAGAGCCGCGTATCGTAGAGAAGAGAACGTGAACGAAATAGTGTAAAATAAAATATGCTGAGAAGGAAAATTTTAAGCGTACTGTGTAAACTATACCGAAAAGACTAAAATACCCCTAGACGACCAAGAGCACCTTATTCTCGCTTCTAAGCGGGCAAGTGCTTGGTAAGCCAACAGCCTAGTGAACCGGGCGGGGCACTCGAAGAAAGGGGGGCACACCGGGATTCCCCAATAGATTCTACCATAGATACTTCGTCCCATATGATTAATTTTGCATCCTGAATCAAATATTCTAGTGAGCTTTGCTTGCTAATGTTGCATGTGACATTTTCGTCAATATTTATTGGAATTTTAAAACGTGAATATGCAGTTCGTCCACCGGGAAGTATAGAAGCAGCTACACCGGAAGTGGCAGTTGCCAATGCTATATATCTTTTAGATCGTATAGTTGCCAGCAATGCACGGTACAAGAAGGTTTTTCCAGTTCCTCCCGGACCATCAATAAAGAATGCTCCCGCTTTGTTTGAAAAAATCCTATCTGTAATTACATTGTACGCTTTGAGTTGATCTTCATTCAACTTTTTGTGTAATAGTATATCCTCTTCAGTTACAATGATGGTCCTTTCATAGTACACCTCTTTTGCGTCTTTTGCAGCTATAGAAGACCTTATTCCTTCTGGAATGAGATGATATATGTCGTCACCCATAGAGTGCAATATATCATAAATATGGTTTATAACCATGTATGGTATGTCTCTTTTGTGAATATTAGGTAACAAGTTGTAATCCTTCGACATGTGCTCTTCAAATTGCTCCCAAAGTTGTCTCGGGTTAGTCGAATTGCAGTAGATCAGTAATATAGCAAATAAACGTCTCAAACTGTATGGCATTTGGTAACTTGCTGCTTCAGACATGCATTCTGTCAAGCTATTATCACTCTGTAGCTATCCACGTTTTTCCGCAGATTCCCTAAAGCTACTGCAGTGTTCTCCGTTAACAGTTAGTAAATCCCTATATGATTTTAGTCCTCTAATATTCATTAGTAACATCCTAAGGTAGTATCGCTCTCCTTCTGTTGGATGACATGTTACTACACGGCCAATAGTACGTTGTTTTTTCTGGCGCGTCCACATTTTCTCCGTTGCAGACCAAACGAAATGTTCGGGGAATTCTCGATATAATAGATTGAGTTCTTCAGCGTCTGTGTTTGTTCTATTCATTTCAAAAAATTGTGTTAACATCGTCTGCTTAATCATCGAATTATTTACAAGCGTATCTATGTTTGCGCTGCTTTTAAATGAAACAAATTGTTGTCCTTTAAGGTGAAGCTGAAGAGGGCATACACTCGGGTACATTTCACTGATGGAGAAACCGTACAACCGCCACATAGCTTCCGGAGGCGAGACCCATCTAGCAGAATGATATTCTTTTATCTCATCTATTACTTCTGTGTTGGTGTCCTTATTGTGTACAGAAAATGCAATCTTATCGTGTCCTTTACATATATACTTATAAGGATACTTAACGACCTTAATATCAGAACATATCTCAACATTCACATGGCAATCAAATTTTTCGAGCAAAAAAGGATTATATGGAACAACCCATGAGTTATCCAAGTGTCGTTCTCTTATTTTTACTACCACTCCTGTATTGCGTCTTCTATAAATTGGATAAGATTCTATTCCTTTTGATGTCTGCTCCGCAAATTTTTTTGGGTATTTGAATTTACAGTAACCTTTTTTCTTCATACAAGAATTTGTTGGGTTTAGATTACCGCACGGACCATGCATCATGTGTTTAAGAACAAGTGAATATAAATCTGGTTCTGCTTTTTCATCAGGTATTTCTGCACTAATAATATTATTGTAGGCCTCTGGAGTAAGTAACTTGTATTCGTTGGTTAATATTATAGGAAAATGAGCGTGAGGTAAACCTCGCTTTTGGAACTCTACAGTATACATAAAAGCTGCAACTTTCCCAAAGATATTTCGTTTTAGTATATCCTTTTTGAATTCTTCTATTTTCGCTCTAAATACTCGACTGATCAAATGAGGCCTGTTATGTGCCTCATTAGTTGAGATTAAATGTTCCTTTATTTCTGTCCAAGAGGGATTACATGTCATTGTTATAAACAAATCAGGTTTACCGAAATGCTGCACGAGCGCAATAGCATCCATGTACCGTTGACGCATATCCCGGGGCCCTCCAATAAAAGAACTTGGAAGGAAAGTTTGTTTCCGGATATTAGAAGCATCGCGTTCCCCTAATCGCAAAATTGAATACTGCAAAATCCAACCTTTGTGTCTCAAGTTTGATGTACTCATCAACTGAATACTGCTCCTGTGTGCAATATTTCATCTTCATCATCGTTTCTTATTTGTAGTTTGTAACAGTAATACTCACGGACAGAAACTGTATCCCTTCGTCGCTGTCCTTTTTTTAGAATCTCAGCTTCCATTTCCAGATATCCGTCAAGGGAGGTAACATTTCGTATGCTTGGTACCTCTTCATGTTGTGCAATTCTCGCGTATGCAGGACAATTTGCTGGGAGCTTTTTAATACCACAATGCCATCCACTTTGTCCTAGCGGAAACAATAGCGGATATTGCAATGCGTCGTAACAGCCATAGTAGTAATTCACTATTTGTGTTCGATCAGTGTGAGGGTAAATTTGAATATGTGGTGCATTAAAGGCTGCGTCGGCATTTTCCTCGGTCCATATTGCTGCAATTTCAGATGAAGTTGGCAATTTATATACTCTCTGGTTCAAGTCTATGTCACATTTGAGAGCTATATGAAAATCTTGTAGGTTCGGTATATGTACCAAAGATCGTAAAAACACCGAGTATGGGTTTACTGATAATATATCTATCAATTCCTTCACTACCGATTCATGTACTCTCTCGGAGCATGCCATCCTATGTGNATCATACTTTACACAAGTGACGTGAATGCAAAAAGATTATTATATGTTCTCATGTATGTTCGAAAGTGGTTAGACGCCACACTATTTCCAACATATAAATTACGCAATTTCACAGGCATTTGATGAGAAGTTAACTTTACTGTCCCAGTACGACAGCAGAATGCAGGAGGTTCATATTCAAATCTTTTCGCTGAGCAAAATTTGCAGATTGGAACTCTCTGAAGCGGAACATAGTTTGAACGCAACCGACTGATGTTTGGAGTAAACTTTGTGGTTGTTGTACCATCTGTATATTCGAAATGGATCATTAAAACTAAGGCAAAGCAAAAGCAGTCATGACTGTTAATAGGTGGAAAAAAACTGAACAGACCTTTGGGTGTAACTATCTTGGAGACTTTGTTTTGTAGTTCATTGGATACAATTGACGTTGAACCTTAAATGAAGGTAGGTGATCTTTAGATGGAACTAAATAGTGGTAGCTATTTTAAAAGCGAGCAAAGAAAGCATACTCATCTTTTTCATAGACAGAAAATGAACGTGTTTCATCTCTTTCTTTACAAGTCATTGTTCCAATCAAGGGAACAGTAGTTATATTCTCACAAAGCGTATGTCTCTTTGACTCTTGGTATTTTAGTCGACGTTGTAGCAATAACTTTTCCTTTTTCTCTACTGCCATCTCTTTGTATTTTTCACGTCGACTGACATTTCTATCTGTCTCTGAGAGGGGACGTTTATTTTTTGTGTATGATCCATCAGAATCGTAGTATTTACTCCTAAATGAAGTTGTGCGAACTATCACACAACCCTTTAGCAAGATATCAATTTCTATTAGCGAATATGTAGAAGCACAAAAAGGTACTGCACTTTGATATACGTAGCACCTGCTGTGAGCACCAACAGCAGCTATTGTCAAACAACATTGCAGATAAATTCAGTACCATAACTTGTAGAAACAAAAATAGTACACAACATTAACGGTTAGCAGTGCAACAGGCAGGAGAAACAGAGGATATGCTAGTAAGAGCCTGCGTTTACAAATATATAAAGATAAGATAGTTGATTACCTGTAAGCACGTCGAGCAGCTTTTTTTGTCGTACCAAATGAAACAGAAGCGTCAGCAGTTCTACAAAGGCAGAAATAACTTTTAGTCATGGTTAGCATCAACTTCAACACATCGTGCATTGAAAATACTCGCAAAAATATTCTCTATAGAATGTGTAATGCGACTGTCATAAGATGAATGGTAAAGACAAGAAAGAAGATCACTATAGTAAGCTCTATTAGCAGACCAAGTATGTGGATATGCAATAAAAGATAGTAATCTGTGTTGTCAAAGGCGCGCTTAAAGTGCGCTTAAGCCCTAAAGCGAGGCTCAAAACATGTTGAGCGCTTCGTCTCGTTTTGTGGGCGCTTTAGTATCGCATCAAGGCTCTTAGGCGTACTTTTACTTGCCTAGGAGTTGTATCATGTNACCTTTGGGTGTAACTATCTTGGAGACTTTGTTTTGTAGTTCATTGGATACAATTGACGTTGAACCTTAAATGAAGGTAGGTGATCTTTAGATGGAACTAAATAGTGGTAGCTATTTTAAAAGCGAGCAAAGAAAGCATACTCACCTTTTTCATAGACAGAAAATGAACGTGTTTCATCTCTTTCTTTACAAGTCATCGTTCCAATCAAGGGAACAGTAGTTATATTCTCACAAAGCGTATGTCTCTTTGACTCTTGGTATTTTAGTCGACGTTGTAGCAATAACTTTTCCTTTTTCTCTACTGTCATCTCTTTGTAACTCAATATAACCAGTAAGGAGGAATTGAAGAAGTGGACATATAATACTGCGATATGGATGATATTCTCTTAAACTAATGGAGTAATAAATAGTCCCCCAAACAAATCCCTATCTTATGAACAAACTAACTGCTTAACTTCTTAAAAATGAACTGATGCATAACCAAGTGTGGAGATGAAGAAAAACAATTATAAGAAAGTAGCAATAGGTTATTGGAAAAAAACATATTAGGGTTTGATTTTTTTTTACAAGGAAAAATGAGAATGAATTCGTAGATAGGGATAAAGAGAAGGTACGAGGAGTGTTTTGATAAAATTGAAACTTACATAACTATTACAGGGTAAAATTTTAACCATTAGACGACCGTTCTAATTTTAATTTTAAAAAAAGAACTTACCAAAGATAACCAGGAAGGAGGAATTGAAGAAGTGGGACGTCTTTTTTTTTTAGCTGAACTTTTTATTCGGGTCGGTTTAGTATTTTGGGGCGGGTTAGTCCGAAAAACGGGTACATACGGGCGGGTCTTTCTAATATGTTAGATGTTTTAACTTCGACCAATAAGAAGTTGCCACGTGGAATTTAAATAATTATTATTTTTAATTCACCATTGACCTAACGATCAAAGGGCATAAGTGAACCAAAAAGGTGGATGGAAGGGTATTTTTAGCCCAATAGGTGGATGAAGGGTATTTTTAAACCTTTTCCAATAGTTTAGGGCCATATTTAACCCTTTTCCGTTGATTCAAAGGTGAATTTAACCCAAGGGTTTTGTCGTCCTCACCTTCAACTTTTCAAAACTATTGCCCTTAAAGTTATCATTTTTTACTTTATTAATTTTGTGGGTATTGAGTTAATAATACTACTTTGAAGTCCTATTTTGTAATTCTATGTGTTTTTTTATTGGAGATAGTTCACTTATCTTTCTACTATCCCTTCTCACGCTACATTAACCTTTTATTACAATAGATACCCTCATTTATTTCGTAAATAAAACTAACTTTTCGAGCTTTCTTAAGTCTTCAATGACTAATTTCAATTTGATTTTGGTTTTGTTTCTTTTAAACTTATTCATACAGAAAAAAATTCTTGGTTAGGTTTTATTGTCTTTTAAATAGTTTTTTGATTTTGTATAGAATGTTTTGGTCAGATTTTTTTTCAAAACATAACTTTGTGCTCTTTTTTTCTGTTTCAAAGATCATTCCGATTTAATTTTTAGAAATCAAAATTGATCTTTTCAAAGAAAAATGTATTTTAAATTTGAAAGGTATGTGTGTAATATATATATATATATATATATATATATATATATATATATATATATATATATNGAAGGTGATGATATCCTATGTATATGTAACGACCTGACCGGTCGTTTTGAGCTTTTGCACTTTGATCGCCAGTTCCCGGGCATAACTTGCCCCGTGTTATGTATTATGACCAATGTAGATCGTTGGTTTTGGTTTACAGGAAAGTTTGAATGAATTTGGAAGAATAGCTTCAGTTGAGAGCCTTGAATTTGAAAGGTTTGACCAAGAGTTGACTTATTTGTATATGAGCTCGGATCGGAGTTTTTATGATTTGTTTAGCTTCGTTAGGTGATTTGTGACTTAGGAATGTGATCGGAATTGGTTTTGGGAGTCCGGTGTAGAATTAGGCTTGAATTGGCGAAGTTAGTATTTTGACGATTTCCGGTTGTTAGGTGAGATTTTGATCCGAGGGTCAGAATGGAGTTCCGGAGTTGCTGTAGCTTCCTTAGGTGATTTGGGATGTGTGTGCAAAATTTCAGGTCATTCGGAAGTGTTTTGGTCGGGTTTTTGATCAAATACGTATTTCGGAAGTTTTTGAGAAACTTAGGCTTGAATTCGGTGAGAATTGATGATTTTAGCGTTGTTACATGTGTTTTGATGGTTGGAACAAGTTTGAATGATGTTTTAGGATATGTTGGTGCTTTAGGTTGAGGTCCCGAGGGCCTCGGGGTGATTTCGGATGGTCAATCGGACCAATTTTGGCCTTTGAAGATTGCAGGTTTTCAGCTATTTGTTGCAGAGGATTTACCCTTCGCGTTCGCGTAAAGTGTCACGCGTTCGCGAAGAAGGAACTTGGGAGGCTGATGAATTACTCTTCGCGTTCGCGTGTGTGGGTCCGCGATCGTGGAGGGTTAGCTAATTGTGCATCGCGTTGGCGAGGTTGTAGCCGCGAACGCGTATAAGGAATTGAGTTCAGGGGGTTTTAAGCTTCGCGTTCGCACCTGTGCTGTCGCGTTCGCGTAGTGAGTTGTGAGTAAGCTTCGCGTCCGCGTAACCTGGACCGCATTCGCGAAGGACATTTTTGGGCTGATGGAATTTTGAGCATCGCGAACGCGAGAGAGACCTCGCGTTCGCATAGAAGGAAGTCAGAAAACTGGGCAGAAGGTTATAAACATTTCATCCGCGATTTTGGGGCTCATTTACTCCATTGTTGATCATTTTGAGAGCTTTATGAAGGAAATTAAAGAGGGATTCAAGGAGAATCGATTGGAGGTAAGATTTTTGAACTCAAAACTCGTTTTTATGGTGTAATCTACCTAGAAATTCATGGGAACTAAGCCTAAAATTGAAGAACTAGGGCT